GGTTTGCTGTGTCGGGGGTTACATTTATATGAGTAGCTGTTTATAGCTTCCCATCAATTTTGGTACAGACACTGGGAACAGCTTTGTGTGAGAGGAGTTCTTCGAGGTTGGGTTATGTTGGCGGAATGGCGCATGCGTTTTGCATTCCAGACAGTAATAGCTCCTTCGCGGGTCGCAGCGCATGGTCGTCTGCAGTCCGTCACCTGTCCTGGGACGCCTGGGGTCTTGGGCTTTGTCTTATCGGCGCGCTGCAGCTTTTGGTGGGGTTGCCCGTCTGTCCTGCCCCCGGAGAAATGACGCAGCTCCCTGAAGCCGGTGATTAGCCGGTCCCAGTGGTGAATTGAGGCTGCTCCCCTGTGATTCGTGGCGCAAGCTCCATCAACCTGTGCCTGGGGCTGGGGGTACCTCTAGCTCATTGAGAGCTTGGGTGGTGGTGGGAAGCTCATACCTTCAACCTCACCTCTCATTCATCTCATACCTCGGTCTCAAACCAAACATTAGAACCGGAACCCCACAAATTCACGACCTCCATCTAGGAGATCTCCCAGGAGCTTCGAATCGCAAGACGACGTGTGATCAAGCAGGACAAAGTCCAACCCGCGGATTGTGAAAGGGACCAGGCCCAAGGCGACCGAGGAAGATGACATGATGGAAGCATCCCACCCCGCGGCAGGATGGGAGAACGTCGGCGAAAAATGGTACCGTAAAGTCCAGCTCTACACCGAAGTATTCGACCAAGACCTCGACCTCGACAACTACATCGTCGCCGGCGCCCCCTACGGCGGCGCCCTCGCCCTCCTACGGGACGACACCAAGATCCAGGCCGTTCGCGCCGCCCCGAGCAACAGCAAAACCGGTGGCGGCTCGTCAAACAGCAATAAGCCCGGCATCGACATCTACTCGTACGCCGGCAAACTCCTCCGCAGGATCCCGTGGGACCAAGGCTCCGGCGCGATCAAGGGGCTCGGATGGGCGAGCGTCCAGGGCGGCGAGGAGAAGCTGCTCGTCGTCACGGCGGACGGGACGGTGAGGGTGTATGATCTCCAAGGCGAGTTCACGCAGTTCTCACTCGGCAACGGCGCGGACGAGGTCGGCGTCGTCGGGTGCCGGTTTTACGAGACGGGTATGGTTGCTCTGCTCGGTGGCAACGCGCTCGTCTCCGTCACGTCGTACGCGGAGCCGCGGCCCAAGTTGCTCGCCGCGCCGCCGCAGGACCAGGGCGAGATCCACGCGTGGGCTGTGGTCTCGCCTGATCACACGCTTTCGCGGTCAGTTGAGGTGCTGCTGAGTATCGGGGAGACTGTATATGTTGCCGACGCGGCTGAGTGCGAGGATCGGTTTCTGGATATTGGACCGTTTAGCCACATCAGCGTCTCACCTGATGGGAGGCTGATTGTGTTGTATACCAAGACGGGGAAGGCGCATGTTATATCAAGCGATTTCCAGGAGCGGTTGGTGGAGCACGATTCGCAGTCGAGGATTCCGCCAAAGTATGTGGAGTGGTGCGGTTCCGATGCCCTGATTGCGTGGGAGGATGAGGTGCACATTATCGGGCCTGACAGCGCGACGGCCGAATTCTTTTACGATGGGCGGGTTCACGTCATCTCTGGTAAGTTCACCTCTTGAACAACTACTTCTAGTTCCAAAATCATCTAACAATAACACCAAGAAAACGATGGCGCAAGGCTCATTACAAACGACGTATGCGACTTTCTCGAACGCGTCCCCCACGCCACAGAAGACGTCTTCGGCACCCGCGCAGAGTCGTCAGCGGCCTCCATCCTTCTCGACGCCGTCGGCCAGCTGGAGCTCCAGTCCCCCAAGGCAGATGACTACATCCAGCTCATCCGCGCCAACCTCACCGAGGCCGTCGACACGTGCGTCAACGCCGCCGGCCGCGAGTTCAGCGTCCACTGGCAGAAGCAGCTCCTGAAAGCCGCCTCCTTTGGCAAGTCCGTCCTCGACATCTACAACAGCGACGAGTTCGTCGACATGTGCGAGATCCTTCGCGTCCTCAACGCCGTACGGTTCTTTGAGGTCGGCCTGCCCCTGTCTTTCGACCAGTACCAGCGCCTTACTCCCGAAGGGTTGATAAAGAGACTCATCAACCGACACGAGTACCTCCTCGCCCTCAAAATCGCGGGCTACCTCCGCCTCCCCACAGACCGCATCTACGTCCACTGGGCCTCCGCCAAAGTCCGCTCCGGCACCGAAGACGACGACACGATATGCCGCCTCGTCGTCGAGCGCCTCTCGGGCAAACCAGGCATCTCCTTTGAAGAAATCGCCCGCGCAGCCTACGACGAAGGACGAGGCCGCCTCGCCACCGAGCTCCTCAATCACGAGCCCCGCGGCGGCCGGCAGGTACCCCTCCTCCTCAGCATGGAAGAAGACGAGCTCGCCCTCGATAAAGCAATCGAGAGCGGCGACACGGACCTCATATACACCGTCCTCCTCCAGCTCAAGAAGAAGCTCCCGCTGGCAGCCTTCTTCCGGGTCATCAACGCCCGCCCCGCGGCCACCGCGCTCGTCGAGTCCTCGGCCGCGCGCGAGGGCGACAACGCACTCCTCAAGGACCTGTACTACCAAGACGACCGCCGCGTCGACGGCGCGAGCGTCTTCATCCGCGAGTCCCTCGCCCAGGCCGACGCCCGCACGGCATCCGACAAGCTCGCCCTCGCCGCCAAGCTGCTCTCCGACTCCCGCGAGGCGTCGTTCGAGGTGCACGCTCTCAAGGAGGCGCAGACGCTGCTCAAGATGCAGGAGGCGTTTGACCGCGATCTGACCGATACCTTTACGGGGCTCAGCGTCAACGAGACCATGTTTAAGCTTATTCGGCTCGGGTACCACAAGCGCGCGACAAAGATTCAGAGCGAGTTCAAGGTCCCGGAGAAGGTTGCTTGGTGGCTCAGGTTAGTGGTTTCTTTCTTTCTCCATGTCTTTGCTCTTCCACGGTTTCAGTCTATTCGGCTACCCCTCCCTATTCCCTCGCCAAGACGGACAGAGGCATTATACGATTGCTAACCCCTACCTTCTTCTTTACAATAGGCTACGCGCCCTCGTTGCAAAGCGAGACTGGAACGAGATTGAAGAGCTCGCAAAGACGAGAAAAAGCCCGATCGGGTGGGAGGTAAGCTTTCTTCACAAACAATCTACTACACACCGTCACAAAACCGTGAAGGAATCCGCGTATTCGGCGTACCGCTGTTCTCCGTGAACCACGTCGGAATTACACTCTACTGCAAACCGGACGACGGAAAGGATATAAGCTAACCTCCGGGCGCAGCCGTTTTACAACCTCACGCTGCAGGCGGGCAACCCGCGGCTGGCGGCGGTCTTTGTGCCAAAGTGCACGGGTCTGGAACCGGGTACGACGATTACCATGTACGAAAAGTGCGGGATGCGGGTCAAGGCTGCGGAGGAGGCGGTGAAGCTCAAGGACGCTGAGGCGTGGGGTAGGCTCCTCGAGGCGGCGGGACGGGGAACGCAGGAGGGCCGGGAGATTGAGAAGCTCGGGGCTGCGGTTTTCAAGAAGTGAGGCTGGCGATTGTTTTTTTCGCGAAGGCGAGGTAGGCGAAGCATGTGGCGCTTTATTCGAGGGACGAAGATGATGATGAGATCAGACGAAGACGAAGGGGCGGGGGGTGGTCAAGGTTAAAGGGAGTTGTTGTCGGTGTTTTAATCTTCCTCCTTACCATACCATATGTAATCTGAGCAGAATTAAGGTGATGCTCTATGGCTGCTGTCGAAGAGGAAAAGCCGCTTCCTTGAGGGGTTACGTTTGAGGCGATGTACAAATGGGAATGGGCGCCGTCTTCGATCCGGGGTAAGCTTGCCCACCAGCTGGTCGGGAACTAGGATTTCCCCAGGTCCAGGACGTGCGTGCGCGTAACGTAGTTTCTAGCTTTGTCGAAGTCTTCACGACCGATCATGCCAAAGGGAAAACTCAGGCCATGCCAAGCCCTAGGTCTGCTAGATGTGCCGGATCGTCTAGCTGTCTGACAGGCTTACATCGGTTCTTTGACGGCTGCTTCCGGATACAGCTTGGCTTGGCAGATGTCTAACACAGTCTGGAGTCTTGAGACTGTCAGTAAGCCTAATTTGCCCGGCAGGTTTTACAAGAGGAAGTGAAGAGAGGGCATGAAGAGGTCGCGTGACAGATTGATCTACACGTGGGCTAACCACGGGAGACGGGCGCGCCGCCACGCCGACACGGGCCCCAGTGTTCGACGGCGGGTTCTTGTGAGAGAAGATAGCGCTGCGGATGAGGTTTGATGCTTTTTGCTTTTGAATGCCAGTTTGTCGAAGGGCAAACAATCGGATTATGGTCCAGGAACAAACGCCTCTTTTGGTAGTGAGAGTGCGTATGTGGAACAAAGCGACGAGCCAGGGGCCATGGTCTCAGATGGGACACCAGGGAGCAATGCAGAGAGCAAGATTCCAGGTTGAACCTAGGGCGGCTCTGGCGGGAGGTCTTCATGAATCAGGTATTAGGTTTGCGGGGGCACCATCTCGGAGGATTGAAGGAGCATGGGGGCGACGACGGTCCAATATGCCTTGCTATGCGCAAAAGGTTTTTTTTTTTTTTTTGAACATGTCTGCTCGGGAGTGACAAAGCATGAGCGAAAATCGGTTGAAGCAGGTTCGTCTTTACGCAGAGATGGTCAGTACGGATGCAAGTGGGTGGCTGACAGTGAATACTGAGTTTCGTTCTGTGACGCCCTAGTGACTTGTGATGGAGGGCAAGGAGAAACAACCCCGAGTCACCTTTGGCCGACTCCTTGGGCTATCAGCGGTGTTAGTGGTCCACCTTAGTACACTACGTCTGCCCAGGGACGTAAGACGTGCTGATTGCAATCGGTCACTGGCGGGTGGCGTCTCCTTGAGCAAGCGATGTCAAGTGCTGATCACTGTGACCGAGTTGCCGGGAAAGGCGGATCTAGATCCTCATCTCTGGGCGTGCGTTAAGCCTGCATTTGACCAAGATGAGACGAAGGCAATTAGACAATGGAAACTGCAAAACAGTCATAGTGCTGAAAGCAGCCGTCCGGGAGTAGGTTCCCACAAAGAGCGAGCTGTAGGCAAAGACGGACGGAATTAGGGTCCACAGCGGGCTCGGCGCCGGAGAAGAATCGGAGGGTGCATGAGCTGAGGCGTGTGCCGCCAGTGAATGGTCTTGGCAAGGCCTCCTCGCGACAAGGAGGAAGCCGACTCGAGGTGGCGAGGCAAAGCGAGGCGGCCAGCGAAAATTCGCTCGTTGGTTCAGCAGGCCGTATCGGGTTCGGATCCGTGTTTCTGATGAGCTCTCGGCCTTCTAGAAAATTTCTCAATTGTGGTTCTAGTTCCGCCAAGACAATTGACATCTGGTGTCGAGAGGTATGGCGGAACGGAATGGACATGTCCCAGAGTTTGCTTTTGTTTTCGCAGTGTCGCAAGCGTTGTGGTGGTGGTGAGTCGGATGAGGCTCGGGACGGCGGATGACGGACCGGACGAGTCAGTGGCAGAGAGACCGCATTCCTGAGCATGGCGGGTTTAACTCCCACATCGTCATTCAGCTTTCATCCATGATGGAGAAAGTCTGTGATGAAACGACCATCGATCAATACAGGCAGGGAGCCGTGGTTTCGTGAAGTTTACGTAGTATGATTTGCCTTGGGAACAGTAGGATCCTTGTGCACGAAGGCGCCACAGAGTCGGCCTGCGAGGTGGGATTCCCAGCCTTCTGATGGACTTCCGGCGGGGGAAGATTTCCTGGACCCAATCACGATAGCGATCCAAGTGAAGGGACGGCATGGGAAGAAGAGAGTGACGGACGGAGGTGGCGGGGGTTCTCGGTCACACGCCTCGGTGCCAGTCGGTGGGCCTGAGGTTCCCTGCCCTTGATCGTGGGCGTAGGAGGTACTTGCAGTGCAAAACGAGCAAAGTACCTTGATCTTCTCGATTAGGTAAGGTAACCTTGGCAAAGTCGATGGTCTTGGGCTCTTCGGACGCAACCCTCAACGGAGGGTCGAAGGGTCTATTCAGGGAGCTAGGGAGGTGGAAGGCCGCTAATCTGGTGATTGCGTTAGCGTGAACAGCCCCCTGAGAATATGGTTCGCCATTGTCTCTCGCGTGCGGCGTATCTAACCATGGAAAACCTGGAGCTTGAAGACGACGGGGGAGGCCATAGGGCTTCAAACCACTCACGCGGCGCTCTTGGTGGAGAGGTCACTCGAGAGTCTGCGGACGCAGGTGCAGATTGCAGAGAAACCCAGCGAATGGGCCGGCGGTATGCTGGTCGGCTGCATGTCAAATCACTCCCGTCCATGACAGCGGTGCAGTGGTGCCGTGGGCGGCGGGGGTTTAAAGAAGTGGGCAAAGTGGATTATGAGGTATCCAAAGACTGCAGCTATCTTCCATGGGGGAGATATCCGTAGGTTAGGCCGCGAGGAATGTGAGTGGGAGCAAGGTGAAGAGGTGAGCTGACCTTGTCATGTGCAGTGTTCGCGGTTCAGGAGGCTGGTGGTGGCCCTGTTGTGCCGTTATTCCAAGGTTGAAGGGCATGGTGTTGATGGAGACGGTGTTTTCACTCTTTTTTTTTTGGTGGAGAGATGACGGTAGGCGACGGGAAGGCCGGAAATAACATGGCGCGTTCTTTTCTCTGCCGATGTCTGCTCTGATGTCTGCATTTGATGGAGAGTCTTGGAAAGGCGTCTAACAGCACTGTTGCTGGTAGGCTATGGGTGGGAGTCGCCGTCGTATTGGACCAAGGCAGGTACAAGTCACGATGGATCGTGTTCATGGAGCATTGCGGGAAGGTGTCGTAATGCGGTCTTAGTAACTGCTCGGACGTTGCCGACCCCCTTTTTCGCTCACTCTTTTACTATGTAATTACACTACGGAGTAATCACCTAGCATTATAAATGCCATTATGTTTGCCTTGCATAGAGGTCTCCATAGATGATGACAAGCTCGGAGGAAAGATCGTGAGATGCCCTGATCTTGATGAGCAGCAACGAGGCAGAGAGAAAATTGGGAGAGGCATTGCAGATGGTGATTCAGCCTGGCCAGTGCCAACCCGTGCACTTTGGTCGCCGATGCTCTTTTGAGATGATCGTGCCTGCCTCACTTCGCGCGATCTGAAGCATTGGCCATCTCGCAGATGCAGACACCTCCTGTGCTCCTTCCTGCCTTCACACCGGTACCTACCCGACTTCCTCATTTTAGTACCTAACCTATGGCGTGTACGGATAGCACCTTCCATTGAGTGCCAAAGTGTCTCTCGTCTCGTGTTGCAGCCCCGTGCTTCCGCGGAAAGAAGGCGAGACAGAGCACCTGCCTTGTCCAACTTTGAGTGGTCCCGGTGGTTGACGATGGAGAAAGCCAAAATGCAACTTGGGATGAAGAAGGTGCGAGTGCGTTTCGTGCTACCTAAGGTAAGTGAAGGCAGGTGCACTTGGGCGGACTTTCCACCACTTCATCTCAGATTCCCAGATCTTTCCGCCGCCCTTCACCAATGCGGCCGGTGTATCTCCGACGCTTCGTTAATCTTCTTTCCGTCTCTTCCATTCAAGCTTCCCACCCAACTCCAAATGCCTCAACATCCATCTCACTTTACTGATACTCAACCTTCCACAGTACTGGCGACGCATCCGGTCTATCTTCTCCGGCTACCGAAGGTATTCCCCTCCGATGACGGAACTTTGATCCAGCTTTGATCCAGCTTCGCGGAGCTGGCTGCCGCTGGGCTTGACACTGAGACCCCCCAACCCAAATGACCCTGCCATGTGTCTGTGCTCCGCCGTTCTCGTTGCTTCTTCTAACCATTCTGTACATGGCAGTCGCACATCTCCCGCTTCAAAGAATTGACTTGACTGCCCGCCTCCAGGCGCATGCAGAATCCGAGACGGCTCTTTCGACACCCATCCCTCCGGTAGCAGCGCCCATGTGCTTTTCGATCTGTTGCAACTTGAACACTCAACCGGCGGGAGAGAGACACGGGGTCATGGAAGTGGCAGCAACGCGGCCTCATTGCTGTATCATCATTAGACATCATCGACGTCGTCGGTCACGGCATTTCTTCCCATGAGCAACTCCATGTGTGCCACACCGACGTCCATCTGTGTTCGTAGGCACGAATAATAGCGTACCTACACTACTGCGTACCCGTCCGCATCCACTGGATATCCCGGCCAACCCACACGCTTGCAGCAAGCATATCCAGGCGCGTTGAATCCTTTCCATTGCACCCCTGGCCCCGGTTCGCCTTTACGTCCCCTCACTCCTCTAGCCAGTCTTCTGTCCGGCCCTAAACCAAAGGCAACGCCGCAACAACAACATCCCCTGCCCTTCCCGGCCCAGAAAGACGAGGACACACGCACATCTCAAGGCTCAACCCCCACCGCACGGTAACTGCCACACTACCTAATACGGACCCCCTCGCCCTGGTCGTGTGTCTGTTGCTGTTGCTTGCCAGAGAGCCCAGACGTCGTCATTATCCCCATAATCGCCCCCCTTACCCTTTAAGCAGAGGCAGTCGGGAGGAGAGAGAGAAAAAAAATAGTGGCACGCGCGCCAACGAAAAGCTGACCGACTGGGCTGGACCCCGACTTGTTCTCTTTACGTCCAAGTAGCCGACCTGGACGATTACACTTCGTACCAGTTCCAGTTCCCACTGCCCAGCTGCCCTGTCCTTGAGGCCCCTGCTTCATCGCCAGGCCCAGCATCGAGACCAATTCTTCTCTTCTTTGGCTTGCGTCCCAACTAAGGTACGGTCCTCTGTACGAAGCACTCTATCTGTAGTCTACAGTACGGGTACACCTAAAGCTAGTCGTCTCGTGTCTCCCGCCCCCCCATCGTGCCCTGCCCAGGTACTTCCATCAAGGACCACCACAAGTACCTTTTCTTTGGCCTGGCCACTTTCTTTCGTCCAACCTCACCGTCCACGGCCGCGGCGCACTGCTTTCACGCCTAGTCCATCTGGCTGTCCGGGCTCTTCCTTTAGCCACTTGACCCAACTGGGACTGACACTGACGATTACGACGAGCAACAAGAAGAAGTCGACGCCCGTCCTTCTTGGCTCCAAAGCCGAAATACTGACCCTTTCCCCAATCCAGCCGAGCACCACAGACATTCAAGCATTCTTCACTTGCAACTTTCTCCCAGGTCCAACTTTCCAAGGCCTTGCCGCTTGTCGTCCAGACTAAAAAAACCGTCTTCCCCAGGTCCATTTTCTGATCTCGGGCGTAATCTGCTTTTTCTTGGTCCATAATACCATTCATCTCTCTCATCTCTTACCCTCGGACCTTACCTCCCATCTCCCTCCCGTCTTGACGATTCCTCCTTGGTCCTTTTCGTCCCTTTGGTCCCTCTGTCCAACCTCGCCTTGCCTCGCTGGTTCACGCCTTGACAGATAGGAACTCGGAATACAGAGTACGGAGTAGAAGAGAGCACCGTAGATTGCTTTCCAGACAGGATCCAGCGACATTCCAAGCAAACACAAGCCGTCTAGACGTCCTCCACTCCCTCTCCCATCCCTCTCTCTTTCTCTTATTCCACCCCTTCACCACATTCTTCCCATAGCTTCTTTGACGCCCTCACTCTCTATTTGCACCCCAAGAGAGACACCCCCAACAAGGCAGTCCACAATCCCGTTCTCCAAGGGACAGGCAAAAGACAAAAAAACCAAGCAAAATAGGTCACTCAGACAAGTCCGCCGACGCCCAGTGATTCAGCCAGCTAGTCAGCCAGACCGCCAGCCGAAACCCACGAGTCGAGAGCCGGCACCATTGCGACACTACCGCCTGATTTCCAGACGGATTCTAACCCTGCGGCGGCCACTACTGCTTATTGCACCCACCGCCAAAAACAGTACAGCCTAACAAACACCAACCCATTCTTCTATCCTCCCAGGCTCCCCCTCCCCCCTCGAGGCGCAAATGTTTACACAACCAGTCGCATCGCCACCGACCGTGGGCCCCGTGCCGACGTCTGTCACCAATCCCGCTTCACCCTCAACACGATCCAGTCGCCTGAGAGGCCTCAGTTATCTCCGCAGCTACACTCAAAATCATATTTTGTCCCGAGAACATAGTAGCCAGGGCTCTAACTCTCCAACATCAAACTCGCATTCTCACGTCGCCGCCCATTCCCACTTTCACCACAACACCGGCACCAGCCCGCACTCTCAGACCCAAACTCAAACTCAAAATCAAAACCACCACAGCAGTCGTTCAGGTTCTAGTCGCCCAACCCCCGGTCTACAGCGTTCGCTCAGCTATTCGCCTACTTCAACCCCTCGTCGCTCCGACACCGACGCCCATTTGAACCCTCTGTCGCTCGTCGCCTCACTACAGGAGTCACCATCATCGTCAACTTCCTCCGCCAACAGGGCTTCCACCACGCCCTCTTCGCCTGCCATCGAGCGCCCGCCGGTGGATGCACTCCCCTCTATTCTCGACGACGTCATTGCCAGCGGCAGCACCAGCAGCCACATACGGCAGCAATCTGACCAGCAGCCGCAGTCGACCAACGACGCTGAAGCCGCGAACATGACGAGAGCACGCGCCTCTACCACGGGTGATGCCCCTGTCGCAGCCACCCCCGCGCCCGAAAATCTACCTTCGATCCGCTTTTCTGCCTACTATGACCCGCGCGCGACACGTCCCAGCCTGACCTTCCCTCCAGTCTCGAGAACGCTGCCCTCGAACGGCGACATCATCAGGGTCGGCCGCTACTCTGAGCGGGATAACCAGCCTAGCATCCCCAACAACACCCCTTCGGCCGCGCCCGTTGGGTTCAAGAGCAAAGTTGTCAGCCGCCGTCATTGCGAATTTTGGTACGACGAAGGCAAATGGTATATCAAGGATGTCAAGAGCTCGTCCGGCACCTTCCTCAACCATATTCGACTTAGCCCCCCGGGAACGGAATCAAAGCCATTTCCCGTCAACGATGGAGACATTGTGCAGCTCGGCATAGATTTCAAAGGCGGCGAGGAAATGATCTTCCGCTGCGTGAAGATGAGGCTAGAGCTGAACAGAGGCTGGCAGAACAAGTTGAACACGTTCAAGTAAGTTGAACCAATTTCGACCGTATCCGTCCTTACGCTTACATCATGCAGCATGGCGACGCACAAGCGCTTGCGGAACATGACTGCAGCCAACTCGGCGAATTCTTCGACGCAGGACTGCTCAATTTGTCTCAACTCTATCGCGGTATGTAGCCGCCGTGTGAACGGATCCCCACATTCCTTGCGGGCAAGCAAGCTAATTGTCTTGTAGCCGTGCCAGTGCTTGTTCGTGGCGCCTTGCTCGCATACCTGGCACTTCAAGTGCATCCGGTCTCTACTGAATTCTCCCCAATACCCCATCTTTGTCTGTCCAAACTGCCGTATGGCTGCCGACCTCGAAGCGGATATTGAGGACCCTGAGGAGGATTGGGAGCAGATGGAGGAAGATGAGGAGCCCGAACAAAAACAACAGAAGCAGGAGGAGAAGGAGACTCCTGCGACTGTCCCGACCGCGCCCCTGGCAGCTCCCGCAGCCGTGGTAAGCTCGAGACCTCAGCTCCCCGAAATTGGCACCGATGATGATGCCATGGACGACTTCACGGTGGCCTTGGACCGCGCCAGAACCGTCGCCGAAGCTCCAGAAGCAGCGCCAAGAACTGTGGCACCCCATACATCCATCCCACCTGTTCCGATCCCAGCAGTCGGCATAGCCCAGACAACTGCACCGCGAAGCGGTCGAGATACACGCACTCCCTCACCCATTGGTAACCACTTGGTCAACGCTACTGAAGGTCCTATTACCCCGCGTAATGATGCTGGGCCATGGGTCTTTGACGGTAGTGCAGGGCGTCGTGCTGCCGAGGCATCGAGTGGAATGCGAAGCCTTGATGCTGCCGCCGAGATGGAAGTTGACCGGTAGAGCCGGTACAGACGTTTACGCAGAGGCATGGCAGGGAGAGATCGAACTACCGGCCTGAAGCACAGGTCAAGTTCTGTCTCCCAGGCATAGAGTGACGCACCCTCACGGAAACGCATGCGTCAAATACGAAGACGGCAAGAGACGGAGAGGAGAAACGCGTTATACGTTGCGCAGGATTCAGTGAATAAGTTGCATGAGCGAAGGCGTGGAACGGTGTATGGCGTTTGAATGCATTGTGGGTCCTTGTATGCTAGCCACAGCGAAGCAGAGCTATGGTGTTATTTCTCGACCCGGTTTACGGAGGCGGGCTCAATTGAAAGGCTGGCATTTTCTACTTCAGTTACGACAGCGGCTTCTACATGAATCAGGGAGATTCGCAAGCCAGGAGACGGATTCATAGCATTCTTCTAATACAGAGTTGACGAGCGTTTAATACTCGCCTGATTAGCACAAGACGTGAAAATGAGCGACTGGGTTACGATCCTCTGAGAAATTACAACTTCGCATCTGCCGTATCTTAATGGCTTACTAGCCAACGTGTGCAAATCTTTTTCAGTGGATTGGATTGTGTGTTGAGCAGTGCTTAGGAGATCTCCGAGCCATGAGACGCTATTCGCGGAATACGAGCGGCGCGGCTCCCAAATGACGTCTCCTTGCTAGATGCATCGTCTGCAATTTAATTGGCCAAGTGCGATACCCCACAAAGACCGACTGTACCGGGACGATAAGGCGATAAGGAGCACCAAGAATTGGATGCGTCAACTCCCGTGAGCACCGAACTTTTCCATAGCCTCGCCATCGTGCACCATCAACCAACGACCGCCAGGGACCACCATTGATCGCACATAAGCCGACCGATCACCCGGTGTACACATCAAAGACCTCACACACGATGCTTCGATCATTAGCGACGCGTCTCCCGCGGCGCGCGGTCGCTTCGACAACCCCCCGTCTTACTACCGGTTTCCGCCCCTCTACCTCTACGCCCTCCTCCCGCCGGGGACTCGCGACGATCATCGAAGCCATCCCTAAAGAGCCGACAGAACTCGATGCCATCACTACCCTCCCAAATGGCCTGCGCGTTGCTTCTGAAGCTTTACCGGGTTCCTTCTCCGGCGTAGGCGTTTACGTTGATGCTGGCTCCCGGTACGAGGATGCCGGCCTGCGGGGCGTCAGCCACATCATGGACAGGTTGGCCTTTAAGTCAACGGGCAGCCGCAGCGCAGACGACATGCTCGAGTCGGTCGAGGCCCTCGGCGGCAACATCCAGTGCGCGAGCTCAAGAGAGAGCATGATGTACCAGGCGGCGACGTTCAACGGCGCCGTGCCGACAACGATTGGGCTGCTCGCCGAAACGATTCGCGACCCGAAGCTCACTGAGGACGAAGTGCTCGAACAGCTCGGCACCGCAGAGTACGAGATCAAGGAGATTTGGAGCAAGCCGGAGCTTATTCTGCCCGAGCTCGTCCATACAGCAGCCTTCAAGGACAACACACTCGGCAACCCCCTGCTGTGCCCGGAGGAGCGCCTCGGCAGCATCTCGAGGGAGACGATCAAGCGGTACAGAGATTTGTTCTACCGTCCTGAGCGTATTGTCGTTGCGTTTGCGGGTGTCGAGCACACAGAGGCGGTCAAGTTGGCGGAGCACTACTTTGGCGACATGCAGCCCTCCTACCAAGAACCCACGCTCTCAAGGACAGGCTCAGAGACCTCCATCGGCTCCGCGGCCTCAGAATCTACAGACGCTTCCGCCTCCACCTCAGCCTCTTCCTCCCCCGTCCAACAACCTTCAAAACTCCTTTCCAAAGTACCCTTCTTCAAGAACCTCTCCACTTCAGCACCAACCAATGCCTCCGTCCAGATCGGCAGCGCATCGCAGCTCTACGGCATCAACTCGCCAGCCCACTACACCGGCGGCTTCCTCTCCCTCCCGCCCCAACCCCCGTCCCTGAACCCGAACCTCCCGACCTTCACCCACATCCACCTCGCCTTCGAGGGTCTCCCCATCTCCTCAGACGACATCTACGCCCTCGCGACCCTGCAGACCCTCCTCGGCGGCGGCGGTTCCTTCTCCGCCGGCGGCCCTGGAAAGGGAATGTACTCCCGCCTCTACACAAACGTCCTCAACCAGCACGGCTGGGTGGAATCCTGCGTCGCCTTCAACCACTCCTACACCGACTCCGGCCTCTTTGGCATCTCCGCCAGCTGCATCCCCGGCCGCACGGCGAGCATGCTCGACGTCATGTGCCGCGAGCTCCGCGCCCTCACCCTCGACACGGGCTTCTCCGCCCTCAAGGCAGCGGAAGTCAACCGCGCCAAGAACCAGCTCCGCTCGAGCCTGCTCATGAATCTCGAGAGCCGTATGGTGGAGCTCGAGGATCTCGGCAGGCAGGTGCAGGTCCACGGGCGCAAGATCCCCGTCACGGACATGTGTCGCAAGATTGAGGCGTTGACGGTCGAGGACCTCCGGCGCGTGGCGCGTATCGTCGCCGGCGGGCTGGTCGAGAACCCCGGCAAGGGCAGCGGTGCGCCGACGGTCGTGTTGCAGGAGGCCCAGGCGCATGGTGTCAGTACGCATACTATCGAGTGGGAGGCGATTCAGAATACGATTTACGATTGGCAGTTGGGCAAGCGGTAAACGGTCCTAGAGGATGTTTTGTCTCGATAGATTGTAGCGAATGTGGGCTGTGTTGGGATAGAGAGATGGCATAGAAAGTGGCCATGATTTGTATCATAGAAGAGAAAGAGACAGAAGAATACTCGACAAGTTTGGAAGGATTGTTGGGCTGAAGTGTAAAAAATATTTAATGGCTGGCTATCCTCAAGGACACAGGATGTGTTCTCTCAGCAGCAGTGTAGAAAAAGTATCCCCCTTTTTTTTTTCATCAAACAGAAAAGTCTTATCCCGCTCGGTGACTAGAATCTAGTGACAAAGTTGATTATCTAGTAAAACATCATATAATACCTTGAAATAATATGGGGAATGAAAACGGGAACTGAATTTTTGAATAGTGTATTGAATTTGTGTACATTGTAAGATCTGTATTTGTGTTGTTGTATTGTAAGGACACCCACCCACCGTGTAATAATCGTAGATGTGTGTTAGGTCTAAGTAGGTATACGTCTTTCTTTCCCTCAAAGCAAGGTAAGAAACGCCGATGAATCCATATAATCAGGACGTAGCCGCTAAACTCCTCCCAAAAAAAGACAAAGAAAAGGAAAGTGAGGGATAGACAATAGTGTCGAGATCAGGGGTTCTATCTCAGTCCCAAGGTGTATGCTCAAGTCGCGCCATCGTCTTCAAAGCTTCGATCGAATCGCCTCAAGCCGATACTTGACATCCTTGAGTGCCTTCGTAACAGGCTTCCAGTCATCAAACTGCCTCAGCAGCTCCTCCGTCTCAGACGACAGCTCCGTACGGACAAAGTCCTCCTCCAGCAGGCCGCGCATGATCCAGGGCAGATGGTAAGGGTTTGGGTTCGCGACAGAGGCCCCGGCTCCGGCACCTGTTGAGTCGCGACGATGGGCGACGGTGGCGGGCACGTTGGGTCGGACGTCGGACGTCTCGAGTGCGTGGGTGAGTGCGAGGTCGTAGACTTGGTCGTCGTAGTAGAGGCGCGAGTGGCCTTCCCCCGAGTAGAGGCTGCCTGCGAGCGGCGTCGAGAGTTCTCTTATCAGTCCATGGTCTGACACGCCTAGGTTGCGGAGTTTGAGGGCGAAACCAACGAGGTGGGCGATGCTGTGTGAATGTGTTAGTGGTGTGCATGGAATGGCAGGGCAGCAAATTCACTCACAAGTCTGGCGCGTGGATGCGGCCGTCGATGAACACAGCGCGGTAGATGTAAGGATGAGATGCTGGTGAGTAGATTGCTGACTCCATCGGCACGAGCTGGTCGTCAATGCTGCCGATATATGTGATTCTTGCACCGTACTTGAGGACTTCTTTGAGCGAGTGCTCGTATCTCTTCGAAATTTCGCTGTCTGGGTTTGAGAATTCCCACAACTCATTGGCGGCTCCCATAAGGATTCCCATACTTGACTTGTAGTCCGGGAACGGACCCAACGAGACTCCGGCTGCGCACGTCAGTTATCGTTCTTAGATCGGGGTGTCTGAAAAGTACTGTCAAGGACTCACCCATTGCGCATACGCCGATTTTGGCATTCGTTATAATACCCAGATCTATCAACTTCGCCAAGAGCATGACTCCTACTGGCACACCTTGAGAGTGACTGGCGACCAAAATGAGATCAGCGTTGCGAATGTGCTCGATCCAGTTAAGAAGAAGCTTCCACAAGTTGTCTACTCTGTCCGCAATCTTGCCGTCACCCTCCAAAGCGACCTTTTCAATTTCGCAGTCGGGACATCCGTGGGCATCAGTCCATCTCCTGATGGCTTCAGCGCCGAGGTTTGCAAATCGTAATGATGTTCCTGTCGGTTGGCCGACCATGGGTCTTAGGTACATCGCTGGGAAAAGTCCGTGTACGCCAATCGCGATAGCTTTCCTGATCTTTGGCGTTTCCTTTACCTTATAAACATGATTCGCCGGGGGCTGCTGCGTGCGAAGCAACAGGGAGGTGATTTGTTTTATGATGGATGGGTTGTCTTTCATCCGATAGGTACTCCCAAATGATGGCAAGAGCAGATTCGGAGGTGTCGCTTTCGAAAGTGTTTCTTGGCTTGGGCTAGTCTTTGGTGTGCCTGGTTTAAGGGGTGGTTCTTTGGGTGTCGTTTCCGCCAAAGAAGCCTTCGATGAGGCCACAGATTCCGGCCGATTCGGTGTCCCCGGTCTAGATGGTATGTCTAGGTCCATCGATTGAGGTCGGTTTCTCTTACTTTTTCTTCCAAACGTTGATGGTGCGGACGCGGTACCCGCCTTGGTACTTTTGGACGACTTTGCGTCTTTGGAGCTCTTGGCATTCTTCCCGTCTTTCGTTGCTTGGTCTGATTGTGCTTGTTCGACGCTGATTCCCGTGTGCTCTGGGTGCGCTTCTGATCCCTGACCAATGATCGCAAGCTCGCCTGATTCTGGCTGTGCTGTCTGGCTTTTGCTCCCTTCAGCTTTCGGGCGAGTGTCTCTAGACCAGAACGCCCAGGTGGAACCGGCTGAGGGTGTCTTAGCAGATTCTGGCTTTGGTGGTGGTGCGTCCTCCATGACAACGTCTTCGGGCTGCTTCGCCGGCTCCTCGGCTGCCTTTGGCATCTCGGTGCTTTCGGTTGGCTTTGGGGTATCTGAGTCTGGAGGGTTCTCTGTCGCAGGAGCGTTCGAGTACCAGAAGCCAAACCAAGAGTTTGTCGATGAGGGCGGGTTCGGCCCTGCGTTTTCGGCGGGAGCCTCAGCGGATGGTGTCTCGGCTGGTGGTACTTGCTGGGGCTCTGGCGCTGGTAAAGGATCTGCCTCCTTTGGTGTCTCTTCGACGGGCGTGAAGGACTGTATTTCTGTTACTGGGGCCCGTGCTAGCCACCCAAACCAACTTGATGCTGCTGCCGGTGGCTCGACGCCTTGCGCTTGGGGTTCTTCTATTGCCTTGCTCGTATCGTCGACTTTCGCTGGTATTCCCTCTACTACCTTACTAGTCTCTGTCGATGGAGCCTGCGCTTTAGCAGCACTACCACCGTCCTTCTTGATCGTTGCGTCTCCTTCCGGCGTCGCAGCGCCGTCCTCGGGTATCTGTGGTAATGATGCTGATGAATCGGCTGGGCCGTCGAAACTCGCCGAGTCAATGCTCTTCTTGGTGTCAAATCTTCGAAAATCGGGAATACTGGAGGGCTTCGAAGTGCCTCCGAAGATGGTTTCCCGTGCCAGTTGAGTCGATGCGGAAGTCTTTGGGACGCGTGGCCAAGAGCCGTACCAACTGCGCGCTTTGCGGACCTGCATCTTGAATTTAGTCTTTGCGCCCCAACAACCTGCAGTGCACTGTAATAGAAAACCTACCTGTTTCTGTGAGTTCTGGGGTGTGTTCTTCGTCTCGCTGCCGCTTCTATCCCTCATCAGAGGCATCTCTCGCGTCGGGCGGTTCGCGGGTTCTGAGACGGCCGTGACCTGTGACGTAGCCGACGTTGGAATCGCAGGGGCAATTGCCGCAGGCGGTGGGCTCGATGAGCTCGGCGCAGATGGAGTGGTACGCTGGCGCTTTCGAGGAGACATGGCGGAGGAAAGGTTTAGTCGTGGGGGAAATTTGGGCGAACAGATTGAAAGTCAATCTGCCGCATATTCGTTTTGAGAAATCAGTGTCGGAGGCTGGTAGGAAGATGACAGCAACTGGCCGTTGTTGTTGAATGAGTTGCCTGGGATGGTGGCGCCCACGTTTGGCGGTCGACCTGGGATCACTGTCTAGGCGGAACCTGGCGCTACTCAGGTACTCTTTACAGTATGGTACTTTGGGTCGAGTGGTCTGGCGGCGGATGCAGGCGGCCAACCCCTCCAAATGACACCCTGCTGATTAGATAAGGCACATTAAGGTAGGTACCTGTCCCGCTGGTGGCCGCCACCTCGGCTTCCATTTTGTTGATGATCATTCCCCCCTGCACCCACCTGCAGTCGCCCGCTTTTTGGTGGAGGGCCCGATAAGCCATTCCATCTTATCGTTATCGTTATCGCCTTGCATCCCGCGCCCAAAGGCGAAAAAAATGTTTTGAGTGGAGTATTCGCAAAGAAAGGTCCCTGTGCCTTTTTTTTTTCCTTTCCTCTCCGATCTCAATATCGAGTCCAGGACTGTTGCAAGCGATTGCAACTGACTTTCGGACACAACCACAACCATGAGCTCTCTCAAGCGAAAGGATGCCCCCGGCGGTACTCCTCCGTCAAAAGCAGCAAAGGCCTCCAAGGTCTCTCGGCCGTCGAAGCGCGATACGCCCAGCAAGGACAAGAAGGACAGGAAGACGACTGAAGATGCTCCTGCACCCCGGGCTCCCGCAGTCTCAGCACTGCTCAAGGACGAAGAGCCTTTGTTCCCCCGTGGAGGCGGAAGTGTTCTTACACCCCTCGAGCAGAAGCAGATCACCATGGAGGCAAAGGCAGACGCCGCAAAGGAAGAGGCCGAATTGTTCGACACGAATGTCAAGGGAAAGGCAAAGAAAGAGAAGAGAAGGAAAGCAAAGGATACCAAGGATACAAAACCTGCAAGAGATGAGGATGCAGTCAAGATTGAGGGTCTCAACTTCAAGGTATGGCATTTCTGTCCCCATTGGAGCAAACGTAGCTAACACAGTAAAAAGCGATTGGTGAAGGGCTCTTTGGTGCTTGGTCAGATTAGCCATATCGACCCGGTTCAACTGACAATCGCGCTGCCGAACAACCTTACAGGAACCGTCTCGATCGCTGCGATCTCGGACACAATTAACTCCAAGCTCGAGAAAGACGCTGCCGACGAAAGCGAAGACGACGAGGAGGACGAAGACGATGAGGGCATTGACCTCAAGTCCATGTTCAAGGTCGGCCAGTACGTTCGCGCACAAGTTCAGTCGACCGCAGACGAGTCCGGCATCGGCAAGCCCAAACGCCGCATCGAGCTCTCCCTTCGGCCTACCGATGCCAACACTGGCATTTCTAGTGACGAGGTCGTCGGATACACAACCCTTATGGCATCAGTCACCAGCGTTCAGGATCACGGTTACGAGATGGACTTGGGTATTGAGGGTGATCTGAAGGGTTTCTTGGCTAAGAAGGAAGTCGGTCCCGACATGGATGAGGCAAGCTTGCGACCAGGCGCCGTCTGCCTGTGCGTCGTGAAGGCCGTTACAGGCATCATTGTCCAGCTCTCAACCGATCCTCTGAAGCTGGGCAACACCTCCCTCGTGGCATCGAGCGCTCCGACAATCAACTCCTTCTTGCCTGGTTCCTTGGCCGATGTTCTGCTCACCGAGGTGACTAGCAGAGGTCTGCAGGGAAAGCTCCTTGGCCACTTGCCGGTTACCGCCGATTTGATTCACTCAGGTGTTGGTCCCGATGGAGTTGACTTGGAAGCCAAGTACAAAGTGGGCAGCCGCGTCAAGGCCAGAATTATTTGCAACTTCCCTGCTGCGCGAGAGCCCAAGCTCGGTATGTCTCTACTACCGCACATCGTCTCTCTACAGCCCAAGTTGTCCGGCAAAGGCAGCAGAGCCAAGGCTCCTCTTGACCTACTTCCCATTGCTTCATTTGTGGAGGAGTGCACTGTGCGCCATGTCGAGCCTGAGATCGGTCTCTACGTTGACACTGGGGTTCCTGGCATTTCCGGTTTCGTTCACATTTCTCGCGTCAAGGATGGCAAGGTCGACGCACTGTACGAAGGCAGTGGCCCTCACAAGGTTGGCTCAACACACCGCGGCAGAGTCGTCGGATACAGCCCTCTGGATGCCATGTTCTTGCTGTCATTTGAGCAAACCATCCTTGACCAGCCTTTCATCCGCCTTGAGGATGTTCCCGTTGGAGAGGTCGTTTCTGGCAAGATCGAGAAGGTCATTATCGGCGAGAACGGCATTAGTGGCTTGATCGTGAAGCTGGCTGAGGGCATCAGTGGTTACGTGCATGAATCACATTTCGCCGATGTTAAGCTCCAGCACCCCGAGAAGAAGTTCAGGGAGGGGGCCACTGTCAAGGCGAGAGTGCTTTCAGTGCGTCCACGAAAGCGCCAGCTTCGCCTTACCTTAAAGAAGACTTTGGTCAACTCAGATGCACCGATCATTAAGAACCTCGAGGAGGTTCAGGTCGGTCTGCAGACTCCGGGAACAATCACTGAGATTACATCCGCCGGTGCCCAGCTCGAGTTCTTTGGCGGTGTCAGAGGGTTCCTGCCAGTGTCACAGATGAGCGAGGCCTACATCAAGGACCCTAGAGATCACTTCCGCACCGGCCAGGTTGTCAGTGTTCACGTCCTCAGCGTGACCCCCGAGGACCGCAGGATGATTGTTTCATGCAAGGACCCTTCGGCTTTCGGTCTCGATAAGCAGGCAGCGCTCAAGGCACTGAAGGTCGGCGACATCGTCTCTGCCAAGGTCAGCCAGAAGACGGAAGATGAGGTCTACGTCGATCTTGAGGAGAGTGGTCTCAAGGCCATCATCCGCACTGGTCACCTCTCGGATAAGTCTGCTAGCAAGACCCAGGCCGCTCTTAAGCGCATTAATGTCGGCAACACTCTTACGGATCTCATGGTTTTGGACAAGAACGAGCTGAGACGTGCTGTTATCCTTACCCAGAAGCCCAGCTTCATTGAAGCCAGCAAGAACGGCAAGCTTCTGACAAGCGTTGAGGATGCGACTTCCGGTGCCGTTGCGCCCGCCTATGTCCGGGAGATTGGTCCTCACGCCGTTTACGTTCAATTTGGTGGCAATGTCACCGCCATCCTCCCCAAGAGCAAGTTGCCAAAGGATGTGCAAGACAAGGAGGCATTCGGCATGCGCAAGCACCAGAGCATCGAGGTCAAGATTGTGTCCTCCAACCCCGAGCAGAACCGCATCATTGTTGCACCAGCCTCGGCGGATGGGCCTGCTCCCACGGTATCAGAGTCAGCCATTAACTCTGTCGACGACAGCATCAAGACAGTCGACGATGTCGCACTCGGCACTATTCTCAATGCCCAGGTCACGTCCGTCAAGAACACGCAGCTGAACGTCAGGGTTGCCGACAACATTCAGGGCCGTATCGACGTTTCACAGTTCTTTGACAAGTGGGAGGACATCACCAATCGCAAGAACCCTCTGCAAAAGGTCAAGGCGAACGAGATCATCCGCGTGCGTGCTATCGGTATTCACGATTCCAAGAATTACCGTTTCCTGCCTTTCTCCCACCGTTCCACACACTCCGTCATCGAATTCTCCGCCAAGGGGAGCGACCTGGAGACCGAGGACGTCGAACTTCTTTCCTACGACACGATCAAGGTTGGCTCTTCCCACGTCGCCTTTGTCAACAACCACGGCAAGAACTGCTTGTGGGTAAACATCTCACCTACGGTTCGCGGCAGGATCGGCATCATGGACGTTTCCGACGACCTCTCTCATGCTGGCAATCTTGAGAAGCACTTCCCCATTGGTTCTGCTCTCAAGGTGCGCGTAGTCTCGGTCGATGCTGAGAAGGGACACCTGGACCTGTCAGCTCGATCATCCACCGGCTCCACTGAGGTCACTTGGGACTCCCTCAAGAGGAACGTGGCTCTCCCCGGAAGAGTGACCAAGATCAACGATCGCTCCGTCATGATCAAGCTTAGCGAGTCTGTTTCTGGACCGGTTCACTTGGTCGATCTTTGTGATGACTACGACCAAGCCAACACGCTCAAGTACAACAAGGGCGAAATCATCCGCGTCTCCGTGGTGGAGGTTGACAAGAGCGACAAGAGACTAAGATTGTCAACCAGACCCTCCCGCATCCTCAGTTCCACATCTCCTATCGCGGATCGTGAAATCACCCGGGTGTCTCAGATCGCCTCTGGAGACATTATCCGTGGTTTTGTGAAAAACGTGACTGACAAGGGTGTCTTTGTGCAACTTGGAGGTACCGTCTCTGCTTTGGTCAAGATCGGCAACTTGTCTGATCGTTACATCAAAGACTGGAAGGGCAACTTCCAAGTTGATCAACTGGTGAAGGGCCGAGTGATCAACGTCGACGCCGCTACCAGCCAAGTCGAGCTTAGTCTCAAGGCCTCTGTGGTTGAGAACGTCTACACTCCCCCTGTGACGTACAAGGACGTCAAGGAAGGCCAGGTCGTCACCGGAAAGGTTCGCAAGGTCGAGGAGTTTGGTGCGTTCATCGTGGTGGATAACTCTCTCAACGTCAGCGGCCTGTGCCATCGCAGTCAGATGGCTGAGAAGCCTGTTGAGGATGCCCGCAAGCTTTACAACGAGGGCGATGTGGTAAAGGCCAAGATTCTCTCAGTAGATGAGGAGAAGAGACGCATCACATTCGGTTTGAAGCCTAGCTATTTCGACGAGGACAGCGACATGGAGGACGTCGACGGAGGTGCTGATCTCGAGAGCGATGAGGACTCTGACGTTGAGATGGGAGATGGCGGCGCTCAACTTGCCATCCGCGGTACCGACAACTTTGAGGAGTCCGATGAGGAAGACGAAGAGTACGAAGACGGCGACGAAGAGGAGGATGAGGACAGCGACGTGGATATGGACGAAGACGCAACGGCTAGCAAGGGTCTCAGCTCTGGCAAGTACGACTGGACT